AATGCCACTCGTCACTGAATTCCACTTGGACATCGAGCCATTGACCACAACTCTTAGAGTGCGACCATCCAGCCAATTCCTTATCCACCGACTGGTCCACCTGTCAAATCCATGTCTCTCCGAATTAGAGACAAGGACGTCGTGCAGGTCAGTGAAATGCTTTGGACAATTCCAGGTAGATGATATCGGTTGCTGTTCCCTTATCCACCAACACTGTAACCTCATCATAGAAGGCCACCAAATTAGTCAGGCAGGATTTGCCCTTAGTGAAGCCATGTTGGCTGTCACCAATCACCTCCTTGTTTTCTATGTGCCTTAGCATAATTTCCAGGAGGATCTGCTCTATGATCTCACTGGGCACAGAGGTGAGACTGATTGGCCTGTTGTTTCTTGGCTCTTCCATTTTTCGCCTTTGTCGTGGTTCAGCCCAGCCAGCGGCTAAGCCACCATGAGATCGCTCACTCACTCCTTCCCTGAAGTGAGGTGGAGAGGAGAAGAATGTAACAAAGGCCTGAGGGTCCAGATAAGAACAGGGAGGGATCACCCACCCACCAGGGCCCTGGGAAAAACGACTCAGCTTGGGAACAAACCAATTTAACTCATTAATGGCTCATTCAGAGAGGATAAATAGAAACAAAGTCAGATTGCAAAGAAAAAAAACCAGCACCTTCCCCCCACGCCTCCCTACTTCCTCCCCCAACGGCGCATGGGATGGGGAGTGGGGGGTTGCATGTCAGTTCATCACACGTTCTTACTGCCATTCCTTTCTTAAAGGAGGAGAACTCCTCACACTCTTTTCCCCTGCTCCAATGGATCTCCTCCTCATGGGTCAGTCCACGGACTTCTCCAACGTGAGTCCTTCCAGCAGGATGCAATCCTTATCCATCAGATTGCTCTGGCACAGCCTTCTTCTCCACAGAATCATGGCTTCTTAGGAGCTGCTGCCCACTCCGGCATGGGGTTCTCCACAGGTTTCAGATGCCTCTCCACCTCGTCGTCAGCCTCCAGCAGCTCATGGAGACCATTCACTATGACCTCTTTCAGGCACAGGCATCTCTGTTCCAGAATGGGGTTCTCCAAGAGCTGCAGGTGGATCTCTGCTCCACCACTAATCTCCATGTGCGGCAGAGGGGCCGCTGCCATCTCACCACAGGTTGCAGGGGAATCTCAGCTCCAGCACAACTTCTCCCGTTCCATCTTTGCTATCCTTCATGTCTGCGCGCCCGTTTCTCTCAGGTCTCAGTCCCCTCTCTGCTGCAGCTGTCTTCAGTCAGGTAGTGGTGGTCCAGCATGGGCAGGCACCCACTCAGGAAGCCGGGGACCAG